CTGCCCTTTGTTATCCCTCAGTATATTAGTTGGTTTTGTGTCATTGTTTGTTGCTGGTTCCTTGTGTTTGTCATACCCTGTTCTCAACCCACGTATTCGTGCTGAGTTTTTTCCATGTACCTGCAGAACCTCTTGTAAGTTTTTGGATCAGGACTTTGTTTATCTGCAGTGCCTTGTTTGGTTTCTTTTGAAAACCTCTGGAAATAAAGCTAAAACCTTTTACAACATGTTGCTGCCCAGCTCTTGTCTGCACTTTGGTCCGCCCGCAAACCACATCATGACAACAGCAGTGATTTGTTGCATTAGTTACATAACACTGATAGAACTGGGTCATAAGTAAATTATTGAAAAAAATAAAAATTTCTTTCGTATAAAACAAGCAGCATTTATGGCAGGCCTTACCCCTCTGAAGGTCAGCTGGTAGGTTCTCTACAAGCTTTGGATCGGGCCACAGATGATCTCTCTGCCTCAGTTCGTGCTGATCTGACTTTTTACCCTCAGGTGAGTTTTTCACCTGCTTACAGCAAGCATGTTTGGCTGCATTGGTCGGCCAACTCCTCAGAGGAGACTCACTGCTGATTAGGTCTGGGGCAGGAAAGTGGAAAACTAATGTTCACAAATAAGAAGCGCCCGAGAGCTCACTTGGTTCATGTGTGGTTGCTTTATCTTCAGTTTATGGCGAAGAGCATCCATGTAGCCATTCTGGCAGATGTCAGCCATTGCCTGCAAGTTCCAAGAACACGTTAGATAAACACCTGTTCCTTCTGTTTCTCGCTAGTAATATAGATGGATTATTCCTGTTATACAAAATGCAGGATGTTACATGCTGTTTATCCAGTGCATCCAAAAGGCATCCACACCCCCTTCTTTTACATCTCCAACATGACAATGCATACAGCCAAGATAGTAAAATAATGGCCTCAGGAGTAGTGTGTGAATGCACTTGAGGAGCCCAGTCAGGGCCTGGATTTAATTCCAATGAATGTTTCTAGAAAGATCTAGAAATGGATATGTAACAGCTGCCCAGCCAGCCTGACTGAGTTTCAGAGGATCTGCAGAGAAGAATGGGAGAAAATACCCCTAAAACATGTCTGCCAAGCTTGTGAAGTACAATTTGACTGCTTACAAAGATGCTACAACAAAATATTAAGCCATTAGTATGGATACTCATGATTATATTCTATTTATCTTGTTGTAAAATAAAAATATTATGTAGCAAAATGTGGACTAAGACAAAAAATGGAATTCTTTGTGGGGGCACTGCACCAGCATTGAAAGTGAATTTTATTTTAAACAAGAAGCATTTTCTTTCTTGCAACTGGTATGTTTTTTTTATCCATTTCAGCAAACCAACAGTGCAGAATAAAACTTACACATGTTCGGCTGTTAGTAGAATGGATGGATTAGATTCAAAGGTTCCTGTTTAAGATTAATTATTTGAATTTCAGTCAAAGTGAAATTTACTAACAGTTTCCTCCAGGTGGGTCCTGGAATCAGAAGCAAGGACTAACTGTATCTCACCTCAGGCACTGGGGGGAAGAAAGTTCTGGTCACCCTGTACAAGTTTTCCAAGTTGACGTGGATGCTGACGTTGTTGAAGTTCACCTCGTGGAAGGTAAGCGTGCTCGCTCTGGGGCAGAGGTCACTCTCGTCAGCAAATGGGAGAGATTGTAATTGTTCTTCCTAGCTGACAGCGAGGCAGGTTGTCACTAACAGCACCATCCACATAATACTGAGAGGAATAAAAGTCAGTAAGCTGACTTCAGGTCGTTACTGTCTTTGTTACAGTGGTGATGAGAAATATGAAAGCACTCATCATGGGCAATAAAATCCTAATTATTTTTGGTATTTTCACATGTTGGTACTCTGCTTTTTTCATGGTAGGGTTGGTAGACGCACAAGTTTGAATTTAATGGGAATTTTCTCAAATCCACAAATGCTGAAAGCTACACATACACCCCCATTAACATTTGGATACATTTCACTTACCAAGTATCACATAAACCACATGCTTTTTGTTCCCATCAATCAGCAGCAGAGATGATTCTGGGGGGTGGGTGGACCATTCTCCTTGGCACAACTGGTAGAATTTAAATGGGTTGGTTTCTTTGCATGGACTCTGCCTTTGAGCGTAGATCATACATTTTAAACACAGTTGAAGTAAGTCCCATCCCAGAAGCTTAATGTTAGCCTCCTTATCCATTCAAAAATCTGATTTTATGTGTGTTAGAGGTCCAGCTGGAAAGCCCAGCTGTGCCCAAGCGTCAACCATCAAACCCCAAATGTCCACCCTCAGTTTACTTTGTAGTTAGGACGTTCAGGTACACCGAAGCTAGAGCATGCCATAAACTGGAAACTGCGGAGACACCAGTGAGCCTGTCCACAGGGAAACAAGTTTAATATTAGTGAAGACTTAGAGGATGCCTACCAAGAAAGAAGCTCTTATTTCACAATCAGTATGCTCAAGCTTCTCCTGAAATTTGCATCTACCTAGACGGACTATCCGAATGCCTTCTGGAGAAATGGTTTATGGTCAGATGAGACAAAGGCAAAGCTATTTGGCAACAATGATGAAATATGTTTGTGGGAGTAAAAGCGATGCTTTCCAACCTAAGAGCTCTGTCCCAACTGTCAAACATAGTTGAGGTAGCATTATGCTGAGGGTCTCTTTAAGTGTCAGTGGTGCTGGTCCTTCCTCAGCAATTTATTGAGGGACATTTATTCATATATGGGTTGGAGTGGAGGGTTGCACGGTGGCGCAGTGGGTAGCGCTGTTGCCTTGCCTTGCAGCAAGAAGGTTCTGGGTTTGATTCCCGGCCTAGGTTGATTTCTCTAAATTGCCCTTAGGTGTGTGAATGAGTGTGTGCTTGGTTGTTTGTGTGTTGCCCTGCAATGGACTGGCGACCTGTCCAGGGTGAACCCCGCCCATAGACTGCTGGAGATAGGTGTTGGAATAATTGTATATAGATTTATCTTATAACCTTTCATGTTGTATGTGTAAGCAAACGTGATGAGTTGTTTGCAGGCAAGGAGGAAAGGTGGAATCGAGATGATGCAGTCACAGTTGAGGACATCACAAAGACAACAGCTGATTGTGCTGAACAAAGATCGCACATATCTTAAGATTATGGAGACAATGCAAGCGTGTTAGTACAGGATAATGGTGTGCATGACCTATGTCATGTTGCTGTTGTTTGTTTTCCCCCATCCTTCAGAGCAGCAACGTTCATTGTAACTAGGGACCACCCTAAATAAAAAGAGGATTCGGAGAGATGGTTTTGAGCGGTAGGAGATTTGTAACTGAAAGCACATCTCTGTCCGTTCTCCTCGCAGCGAGTAAGAAACTAATTCTCTTGTCTTTCTCTTCTTTTTGTGATATTATAAGTATTTTAGGTTGATTGAACCTGACAATAGGCACCAGCTCTCTGTGACCCACTATGGATGAAGCGCTATAGAAAATGACTGACTGGTTGGAGTGTATGCATAAACCTGAATTATTATACATAATTTGACCTTTTGTGGATTAGAGAAAATTCACAATAACTTTTGAAAAACTTTAATGTGAGTTAATGTGAATTTTGTTTTCCAGAATCGCTGAATCTGTTATCCAACACATTCTTTGAACCTCATGGCTTTAATTGTGTTTAGTTGTGTGTGGTGCAGGTTGAGGTTTGATAATTCACTCACCACTCCACGGCAGGTGGGTGAACAACACCACAGTAGAGTGGGACAAAGCAGCTGCATATGAGGACCTGGACAAAGAAGATTTCAGTAGCTCAAATACAACTTTACCAACAAAAGGCTGGTTTTGTCTTCCACCTATTTACCTATCCTTTTAATATTGCCTTTCAAAATGTCTATAGTCCATTTCAACATACAGTACTGTTCAAAAGTTTTAGGCAGGTGTGAAAAAAGTCAGCCAAACCAAACATACAGCCAAAGTGATTAAGAACTATCTCCTGCATAAAGAAGAACAAGAATTACTGGAAGTGATAGTATGGCCCCCACAGAGCCCTGATCTCAACATCATCGAGTGTTTCTGGGATTACATGAAGAGACAGAAGGATGTGAGGAAGCCTACATCCACAGAAGATCTGTGGTTAGTTCTCCAAGATGTTTGGAACAACCGACCAGCCGAGTTCCTTCAAAAACTGTGTGC